ACATGTAAACTGGATACAGTGGTGCATGCTAGTGGAGGCAGGAGGATCAGAAGTTCCACTCATCATCAGTTACATAGCCAGTTTGAGCCCATCCTGGTTTAGAGACCCTGCTTCAGAAAATAAGTAAGAGGAGACCTCTTGGGAAGGGTTTGTAGGGTACCTGCTCCCTGAGAAGCCACAGAAGCAACTGTTGGTCAGGTCTGGCTGGGTGTATGACTTGCGCAGGTGAGGGAACATGGTCCTGAGAGAGTCCTCTAGCCTCAGAGTTAGGGTATTCATGAGGTGCTGGTGTTTAGTTCAAGGGGTTTGGCCCAGAGACTTACTTGAGACTGGGTAAGATCATAATGCAGCTGGTTGGGATTAGTGAGCACAGAGTGGCCAGGGTTTCACCCTCCCTTACCCTTCTTCACACCCCCCTCCCCACCAGCCCTCCTCCTCTCAACAGGCCTCCCTCCTTCCCACTTTCATGCTTCTGATTTGTTTTGTTTTGTGACCACTAAGTGTAGGCAGGGCTGCCCACATGGGCATGAGTGTGGGTCTGCGCACATGGGCACGAGTGAGTGTGGGGCTGCCCACCGGAGCATGGAGGACTCACCAGTAGCCAAACTGCTGAAGACACCAATTGCCCTCCCCTCGAGAGCCACCAACAGCCAATAGTTCTCTGCGGAGGGTCAGGGCTCCTGAGTGCTTCCCCATCTATGTCTTGGGTGGGCAGCTGCAGCTGCTGCTGTGCGTCAGTGCAATGGCTGTGTCGTGCCCTTCACAAGGAGTGATACAGATGTCCCTTTTAAGGCTGAGCACTCAGCAGCCACTTATTTTCAGCAGTTCGAGTCTATGCATTAACCTACTGTAAAAAGAAGCTTCTTGGACCAAGGCTGAGATCAGTACTATCTATAGGTATTTAGAAAGCAGTTTGGCTACATTTCCATTTACTAAAGTAACAGTAAATTTGCCTCTAGGGCCTATGATCTCCCCAGCCAGGGGCTTTTGACCAGGTTTACAGTACCACATATGAATTCCTTCCTGTGGAGCAGGCCTCAAATCCTATCATAAAGTGCTTGGTTACCCTCCCAATAGTCACGTCACTATTGTACCACTGAGCACATCTTTCCTAGCAGGTCAGTATTGTCGCATGCAGGGTCCACAGCTGGGTAAGATCACTGATGACCTTCCTGCCCCAGTTGCCTACATAGCCTCTCTTGGCACTATGACAACTAGTCATCAGAGAGGACGTTTCCAGGTCAGTTACAGCTTGATTTATCTATGTCCTACAACCAAAGTGTGGTGTCCTCAGTACTAGGGTCTTACCATCTAGTTCTGGTGGACATCCAAAACCAACAGAATAGCCTGCGGTGTCTAGGGAACCTGCGGTGTCTCCATGAGCACCAAGCCGTAGGGAGTATCTCACACTATAGTGAGGGTTCCGGGACTCCTCAGGAGTAACAGTGATTTGGCACTACCCACTGAAAAGGCGAATGTTTAAAAAGGTGCTTGCCACATTTACCTTCCGGGACAAGAGTGTCTTGGTGTGGTAGCAGCTTGCTGATAGAGATGGTGGACTTTCAATGGCATGCTGCTGAAGATAAAGAGCTGTGTGGGTGTGGACGGTTTCGTTCTCAGACCTGCTTTTTTGAGCTCTTCCCTCTGGATTCTGGGGGAGAGCCTCACTAGGAAAAGACTTCACCTGGTGCACATCTCTTATCTCAGCACTCAGGAAGTGTACATAGGCAGGACTGTGAGTTAGGGGCCAACTTGGATGACAGACAGCAAGACTGTCTCAGACAAAGAACAACAACAATGACAACAAATTAAGAGGTTTCATTTATCACCAAGCAGATTTGACTTCAGCTTTAATATCATCTCTGTCTTTCAGGAAAGGAATCTGTTTCCTCACTGTCAAGGGGAAGCCTCATCTCCTCAGGAGTGTGAAGTGGTTAGTCCAGTTGGTTGGAGACTGAGGCACCATTGGTGCAATAGTCTGTTGAGGAGTTAGATGATCACTTTATTACTTTAAATTTATTCATATTTACTTTTATATGAGTTTTTGCTTACATGTATGTAAGTGCCCCTGTGTTGTGCAATGCCTGTGAAGGCCAGAAGAGGGTGTCAGATCCCCTGAAACTGGTGTTATTGACAGTTGTTAGCTGTCTTGTAGGTGCTAGGAACCAAATTTGGGTCCTAAGTGTTTTTAGCCACCGAGCCATCTGTCCAGCCTGATGATCATTTTCTGATTGGATCTGAGGCCTGGTCCACAGGAAGGAATTCATACGTCTGGTCCTGTAACCTTGATCAAAAGTCCATGGTTAGGGTGAACACAGGCCCTAGGAGGGAAGCAAAAGCTATTGTTTGACTAAATGCACATGTGCCCATTGAATCTCTTTCTGAATAATTAATTATTCTTGTAGACTGGTGTGTTGTCAGCTTTGGTCAGAGAAGGTTTTGCAGTGGGCAGTGGTAACTGCAGAGGCTCACAACCAGTCAAACTACTGAGAAGAAGGGACTGCTGAATGCTCAGCCATTACTGAGATGTCTGTATCACCCTTCAGTGCTCAAGGAATGTCACCGAAGAGAGGGTAGGAAAGAATGTGAGAGCGAGAGGGTATGCTGGAGTTTGTAGACTGCTGTCTCCCAGGCATGACGTGGCCATGGCCTGCTTGAATTCAGAGCAGCTGTGATCACCTAGACAAGACATGTAAGGGAAGCACTGAGACCTCACCCTTCCCTGAGGATCTACAGGCAGTTGATGGGAGAGGGGGGAGACGTTATCTTCAGTGGGGTGACCATGGTGGCCCATGCTTCCTAATGAAATTCACTGACTCTGTAGTGGTTTGAATGAGAAACGTCCCCATAGGCTCATGAACTTGAACACTTGGTCCTAGTTGATGGTGCTGTTTATGGAGGTTTAGGAGGTGTGACCTTGCTGGAGGAAGCATGTTACTGGGGAGGGAGAGGGCTTTGAGAGTTCACAGCTTTGCCCCACTGGCTTGTTCTTGCTGCTTACTGTACATGCTTGGAGACGTGAGCTCAGCCTCCTGCTCTGGCTTCCAGGCCTGAGGCTTGCTGCCATGCCTCCCTGCCAAGATGGATTCTTATCCCCCTGGAACCGTAATCCCAAACAACCTCTTCCTTGGTCATGGTGTTTTATCATAGCAACAGAAAAGTAACTAAAAAGATCCATCACCTCCCTCCCTCCAAAGGTGTAAAAATCAAAGAGGACCGTTTGGGATGAGGACGGAGGTCAGTGGGAACAGGACAGGGACAAGAGATGGTAAAGGGGCGGATAGGATCAACATACATTAGTACATGTGTGAATGTTATAATCGGCCCTATTTTGTATGATTAGTATGTGCTAGTAAGACATTAAAAGATACAGAGCCATCTGTAAGGACACCCTTAGCTAGTGTGGGTGTGAGTGTGTTAGCGTGTCATGTAGACAGAACCCGGGCCTCTCCTTGGTCTGTTTCCTCACATAGGTGCAGTCATCTTTCTGCTGACTTGCACAGGAAAGGCCTCTCTCTAAGAAAAGGGCAGCCACACTCTCTCTCAGATCTAGTTCCTATTCCTGGGGCTACCACGCACAGGTTTTTCTAAGTTTTTAGTACTGTGTAGTCTGGGCTGGCTGCCAACGCCTGATCTCCTGTCCATCTCCTGAGAGCTGGGACGACAGCCACACCTACCTTTTGATACACTCTAATATATTCTTCTCCTGCTTAGGCAATGGGGTTCAGAGGTGGAAAATGAAATTTCCCCATATTCCCAGTGTCCAGCATCGTTTACAGGGAAGCCCATGTGTGGGAGAGGTGAACCTTGCCAAGCATTTATGCTGCACACACCTGGGCACACTTCCCTCCTTTCTGTCCCTGCTCAGTGTGCAGAGAGGCTGACCTGCACGTCCAACACCAGGCTGCTCCTTTGTTTCCCAGTCAGTGAGTGGAAAGACGGGCAGAGATGAGAGAAAGGAGTGACGTCACGGAGTTTGTCCCCAGTTCTCTCCTTTATGATCCTGGGCGGGCTGACTGCATCCCTTGACTAAATGTCAAGCCCCTGTCCTGTGACACTCTCCAAACAGGTGTCTCCAGCTCTGGGTGAAAGTTTTGTCCTTTTATCTCTGCAGGTCTCTGGGTGGAAGGAACGAAGCTGACCAGAAGTGCTGCAGAGTCGTTTATTTCCATGTGCCTTGTTCATGCTTTAGTTAGCTGTCCTCTTTTAAAAATGATCATTGTGCCGGGTGTGGTGGTGCACGCCTTTAATCCTGGCACTCTGGAGGCAGAGGCAGGCAGACCTCTGTGTTCAAGGCCAGCCTGGTCTACATAGTGAGTTCCAGGCCAGCTGGGGTTACAGGGAGACCCTGTCACAAAAAGACCAAAGAAAAAAAAAATATCATTGCATTTACTGCTGTGTGTTTATGATGTGTGAGCATGCCACAGTATGCACAGGGAGGTCAGAGAACCACTTTCTGCAATTGCTTCTCTCTTTCCACCACGGGAGCTGGTTATTGAATGCAGGTTGTTAGGCATCTATGGTAAACACCATGTCTCCAGCTCCTGACCCCTTTTATTAAACACTATGAAATTGTCTGCCATGACGGTGTCTCTTACTTGTGCTCTGACAGTTGAGGGCTTTATGGAATTGTTAACACGCTGATATTTACTTCCCACTTTGCTGTGGGCTCCTGATGCCTCTAAGTGTTTGGTGAACATTTGTTGGATGAATGAGGAGAACAACATGTCAGACAACATCGAGCACGCGTAGGTTTGAGCCTCCAGTTTCCAGCGGGCTCCAGTTCCCCGAGTTGCCTTAGTGGCTCCTTCCCTGCTAAGCAATGGGTGATTACGTGCAGAGAATCTGAAACACAGAGATGCTAAAAACACCATGCCGAACAAAGGGTCAGGTGATTCTCTGAGATTAAACCGTCCAGACTACTAAACATGAAATGAATATGGAAAAATTTTCATTTGTTTAGATTACGGTTTTGAAGAAAGCATACTGAGAAAACTCAATTTATAGTTTTCAGTTTTGAATTTACAAAGTTGATGTGACTTTTATTATAATTAGTATTATATTAAGCATCATTGTATTCTATATAAGGTAAGGTTGATGTAATTACCTAATTAATTATACTCATGTTTCTACCAGGTTCATTATCGCAGGCTGCAAAGTGATTCATGACATTTATTATAACTATGTTTCACTGTGCAAGTGTTAGACAAGCTCTTTCCCAGTATGACGTGTGCCCCATGATTTGTGCATCTCTGGGGACTCTCCAGTTATCCCTCTGGGAAGATGCCTTATGGGTAGAGCTCAAAAGAATTACCAGGCAGAATTGTCCCAAGATCCCTTGCCATAGCCCCTCAGAAGTTCCTAGTTGGTTGCGAATTTTTCCAAATTATAACTCTTCACTGTGAAAAACTCCATGATCTTCCTCCCTGGGTTTCCCAGAAGGATTGGGGTCCACCGTGAATTGTCGTAGTATACTTCTTCTTTGCGCAGGGCGGCCCCTTTGATGATCTCTAGGGCACACTCCTCTTTCGGGGAGGCTTGAATATTGATTATTCCAGAAACTGCCTCCATAGCTGCGTCTGTAGGGTGATGGGAAGAATAGAGTTAGCCAGGATTAGTGGAGTTTAGCTGACAGGCGCTGCGTGCCCATGCCTGAGCCTCACAGACCTGGGGGAACACTTGGGGGAATGACTATGTTCAGACTGTTGGGCAAAGAGAGGCTTTGGTGGGAACAGAGGATTGCCTCTCTGGATAGGGATCTATGGAGCAGTCCGAGGCACCGACTTGGAGGTCTGAATGCTCTTCTCTTGGCTGTTTTGGTTGGGGTGAGTGGGGAACATGCAGGCTGAAGGACAGATGTCACATGATGATCAAGTAGCTATTGGGACATGTAGGTGACATGATCGTGACTCACTGGCTTATAGAAGGGAAAGAAGAACCCAGGTTCAGCTGTCTTAACACTGCCCACTGTCACCTAGAAGGACCCGCCCTCCCTCCAAGGGTTCACGTCCTGCTGGCATGCCTCCCCCCCTCCATCTCTGTGTTGTTTTATCCCAGTCTTGTTCTATAATCACTATTCAATTACCCTTCTTACGACAGGATCTCATATAACTCAGGCTGAACTTTGGATCCTCCTGCCTCTACCCCTCCCAAGGGCTGGAATTACAGATGTGCTCCACCATACCTAGTCTATGTGGTACTAGGGATGGAGCCCAGGGCCTCATGAATACTAGGCAAGTACTCTAACTTCACTACCTCCACAATTACTCCTTAAAGAAAATTTTCTCATAGTATTAGATGCATGTTTTAGATAAACTTGTAAACACTGTGTCCCCTTTTGCGCCTCACCCTTCATCCATGAATTCTCACAGAATATGTAACTTCTGTGCCTTGACAAGGAACAGGTACAATAGACTTGGTACAATGTTATTAACTGGTTTTTATCAAGAGCCTCTTTATTTCTGAGATCGTGTGCACTCAGTACTAATTTCTCCTATTTTCTCAGTCTGTGGTAGTTCTTTGGTTTTTCCTTCTCTCTCATCATCTTGACTCTTTGAGGAGTACTGATCAGTACTGAGGAATGTCTCTTTGTTGGATATTGTGCCCCTCAGTGTATTTGATGTCTTACATAGAATAATAGCGGTCATGGAGAGATAACGAGGAGCTCAGGTAGGATATAGTGAGTGTACCATCAACCTAGTAGGCTTGGCGTTCAGAATGGGAGGGAGGGTCAACGAATGGCTAGATGTACCAGTGACAGAAATGCCCCATTGAGTGATGGGGTGATATATTCCTGCTATGGCCTTTGGTGCATTACAGATGAGGAGAATAGCACCTCTTATGGAGATAAAACTTTTCTTTTTTTTGAGACAGGATCTCCCTGTAGCCCCAGCTGGCCTGGAACTCACTATGTAGACCAGGCTGGCCTGGAACTCACAGAGATCCACCTGCCTCTGCCTCCCAAGTGCTGGGATTAAAGGCGTGCGCCACCACACCCGGCTGAGACAAAGCTTTTGTAGTCCACAAGGTAAGGCTGACAGTCCAACTCCAGCCATTTATTCCAGTGTCTTACCTGTGTCGATGAGGCCAAGGACACAGAGCGTGATTGACACGTTGATGTTGGACAGAAAATATTCTTTTCTAATGGTGGAGAAGAACCCATCCAGAGCAAACTTGCTTGCAGAGTAGGGGGCAATCAGAGGATGGACCATTTTCCCTAAACAGCAGATTAAAGAGGTATATTAACAAGGTGACCCAATTCAGCTTCTGACAGAACAGGCCTTGAGTTACAGGTTTGGTGAACCCCAAGGAGTCTTCTTACTATTCCCTAGAAAGTGGCATTGCCTTTCTGAAGGGATAGAAATGAAGGTATTAGATGTGCAGTGTGTGGGGTAAGCTTCAATACAGGCTTCATTGGAGAGAGACTGGTTAGCTGTTAGTAGTGGTGGGAATGAGCTGGGCTTCAGCACAGCTGCTGATCACACAGCTGCTGTGTCTTCTGGCTTTCATCCCGGAGGGCTGGGGAATCAAGGCTTTGACAAGAACTCTGCCAGCTCAACCCTCTTTCTACAAAGGGGATAAAACCCCTGTGCTTGAGTTTTACACAAAACCTGAACTGTCATTACCCCAGTTAATTCTCATCCCATTTGCCGAAGGGCATGTGGACGTACACATAAAAAATAGAACAAGCTGTTCTCATGCCCCTTCCCAGAGGAGAGAAGTGAGCAGAGACCTTACACTCTGCTAGGCACTGGAAGTCCTTGTCTGCCAGCCCCAGAATCTGCTTCTCTCCGGAGTGTAGCTGAAGTTTCCCCTTCTTCACGTGTAACGCTTTTGCATTGTATCCTGGAAACTGTGATGAATTAGAATCTTCAAAGAGTGCTAAGTTTTCTGTTAAAGTGAGCAGTTAGCGTGGGTGAGATGTATCTGTCTACTTGGTATCTGGGCTACGCATGACCAGTTCAGGAACAGTTAGAAATTTAGAGAGAAGGATACATTCTAAAGTTCCTGGATTTTGTTGTATTTCTCCACAGAGTGCTGATTCTTCTTTTAAAATGATAACAAGGTGGCCGGGCATGGTGGTGCACGCCTGTAGTCCCAGCACTTGGGAGGCAGAGGCAGGTGGACCTCTGTGAGTTCAAGGCCAGCCTGGTCTACATAGTGAATTCCAGGAGAGCTGGGGCTACAGGGAGACCCTGTCTCAAAAAGACCAAAAAAAAAAAAAAATGATAACAAGGACAGACTTCTGACAAAATATAAAATACAGCCATTGAAAGTGCTGACAGATAACATAAGGCAGGCAGAAAATAACCAATACTTACTTCTCTTACTTTCTAACAGACCCTCCAATAAACGCACTGTTGGATGCTACTGCCGTTCTCTCAATATACTAGCTGCCCTTCTTCCATAACAGCAGAACTCTGATTTGAATCTGGGCACGTAGTTTTCCAGAGTAAAGTCTCACCTCACAGCCCCTCTCGACTAGATACTGCATGTGACTAAGCTCTGTGAGATGGTGGGTAGGCAGAGGCAGATGGTGTGACTTCTTTAGAAATCTTTCTCCCATCTACCCCTTCCTCCTTGGTGTCTGAAGGTGGCCATGATGATAGCCGTAGCTCCTAACACCGTGAACCATGGAGTAGAAGGCACATGTTGAGGGTGGCAGAGCACTGAGCTGAGGGGACCTGGGGCCCTGGAGCTGCCCTGCACCACTCACTCCACTCACCTCCTCATCGCTTTATCCCACTTGACTTTCAGACCCATTTGAGAAGAGCACCTGCACCACCGCAGCTCCATCCTTTTACTCAGTGCTATAGGAATGGTCACGAGACCCACTGTGGACCAATCAGACTTGAGAAGCATTTTTATTGCTCTGTCTCAGAAAGTTCTTTTTCTTTCTGAAAGGTCTCCTTTTAAGAGAGAAATGATCTCTGAAGCTAGCTTACTGTCAGCTGAGGAGGAAGCCAGGCAGAAAGCAAGCAGCATCAAGGGGGCACAACTATGAAGCCTGCCCCACATGGGAACTGCAGTTTTGTCAATAATTTCTCTTATCATTTAAGCCAAACTAGATCCAAATTATTTGTAGGAATAGCTTAATACTTAAAAAATCTAGCTTTAGAGACAGATGACCTGAGTAAGAATCCCAGGTTGCCATTTATTAGCTACAATTTGTGGGTAGTATCATTACCAAGCTGAAATAAACCATGTAATACACTTGGCACACACTCCGGCACATAGAAAGTATTTGGAGAATGCTATTATTGTCTGCAGAATTAGTATTCAAATTGGAGAGAAAATATAAACTATTCAAAAAAGTCATGTTGGGACAAATAGTTAATTGCTTAGGGGACAGAAAAATGGTACTCTAATAAATGAATTCAAATTGAGTTAGAGAGCATGTGTGGAAAGTAAAAGAATACAGGAAGAGGTGAAGTTATCTCAAGAGATTCTTCCACAGCAGGAAATCCCAAGCACACACAGTGAAAGGAAAGAAGGTTGAATGTGGAAACTGTGAAAAGCCACCGTGTTCCGGAAATGCCCACCTTGCTCCTCTGCAGCCTCACCCTTCAAAGACACTGCGGTTCTAGCTTTAGAAGGCTGGCCAGGGACAGATAATGTGCATAACAGCTTGAACGCATGCCAGTTCCTCTCTCAAGAAACTGAAACAAACAACAAAAGGATTCTAATTCTGCTGTTGTGTTTTGAACCAAGAGGTTATGTGAGGTTAGGAGTGAGGAATCCATTTCTAGGTGTGGAAAGGGAGACGTCCGCAGAGGCGACCCTGCGGAAAGAAGCAGGAATGTGGGGCAAACAGCTGCAGAGGCTGAGCTTAACATTTTTTTTAAAGCTTGTATGTGTCAGTCTGAAGTTCAAAGGCTGAATAATTGCTCAAAGTTGAAAGGTCAATGAGAGAATCAAGATTCACATGTAACTCTAATGGCCTGGGCATTTATGCTCTGATAGTGTTTCCCCAACAGAAGCCACTGAGTATTACTATTTTCGCTGCTGTTACTGGGGTCCCCGTTCTTTATATGTGTGTTCTCTAGGAGTCAAGTCTGGAATCCGACACCAGTTCTCCCTGTGCTGTGAGAGTCGGCCTCTTTGCTCTGATGTTCAAGCTCAAAATGACAAAATTTATGAGTATCAAAATTATTTCCATTTTCCAAACTGACAGACGAGGCTATCCATAAATAGACAGGTTATTCACTCCTAGCCCTTTAGATCACTTCCTAGGGCACTGCAACAAATAACCACAAGCCTGATGGCTGCAGACAGTAGAATCTGCCCTCCCGCAGCTCTGGAGGCAGGCGTGGGCCCCAGCAGAGAACCCTTGGTCTCCTCAGCCTCTCAGGTCGCAGCTGTCCTTGGTGCTTGTAGACGTCTGCGTTCCTTTGCCCTCGGCCTTCCATCTTCACGTCGCTTTCCCCTCTGTGCCGCCCCCTCCTGTCTGTGACTTTTACTTTTTTGTAAGGACTCTTGTTATTGGAATTTGATTCACTCAGAGAATCTAGGGTGATTTTATCTGGAGATCTGAATTACATCATCAAGGACCCTTGCTCTGGGAGGGTCTCAGTCCCAGGATTCAGGGGAAATGTCTTGTAGGGGTACAGTTCTGTCACCCACTGCACCATCCTCAGTGATAATGACGATACTAATTCTCGGGTGGCAGCAGTTGAGTTGCAGAAGAGGCCGCACAGAAATCTCCTGATTTCCTGTGGTTTTCATGCCACTCGTGGGACTCCATGCATCTCACATCCCGTTGTTTATTAAGCCTTAGGTTATACTCAAGGTACAAAGTAGGAACCTAAATGAGTTTTCACGAGAAAAGGAAAGAGAGAGAGTGTCCCAGTTTGCTTTTCTGCTGCTGTGATAAACACCATGACCCAAAGCAACTTGGGAAGGACAGGGTTCATTTCATCTGACAGCTCACAGTCCATCATGAGGCAAGTCAGGGCAGGAACTGAAGCAGAGACTGTGGAGGAATGCTGCTGACTGACTTGCTCCCTCTGGCTCACTCAGCCCGCTTTCTTATACAGTCCAGACCTACCTGCCCAGGGATGGCACTGCCCACAGTGTGTTGGGCCCTTCCACATCAGTTATCAGTTAAGAAAATGCTTCAGAGACATGGCCACAGGCCAGTCTGACGGAGGAAATTCCTCAGCTGCAGTTCCGTCTTCCCAGGTGTCTCTAGTTTGTGTCAGGTCCCTTCCCCCCAGACATTTCCAATCTCCCACAAACACTTCAATGGCATGTTTCCCCTGTATTTACATTATTCCCAGGACCCAAGGGAAACAACACAAACAACTCCGGTCAAATCACAGGCACATGCCTTTAATCTTAGCACTGGGGAGGCAGAGGCAAGCTAGCCTGGTCTACATAGTGAGTTCCAGGCTAGCCAGGGCTGCATAGTGAAACCCTGTCTAAAAACAAACACCCAAACCAAACAAAAACAAATACGAGGAGGAAGCAGAAATAGTCCCGCAGGAGCCTGAGAACAGCCTGGGCAAAGAAAGGTGATAGAAAAGAAAGCTGTTCCTGGCAGCTGGGCTGAGACCAGTGCTTACCAGCTGGAGACACGTCCCACCTCCAACTTTTCCTCCCTTTTCTTTGACTTGGGGCCGGTCAGACTGAGGTGGTAGATGAGGAGGAGGAGGGCTTGGGGGAAAAGCTGACACATTCACCTCTCTTGCCTACCCTGAATTCTGGGCAATAAACAGCAGGTTACACGTGAGGACGGGAGAAGTTACACATGGTTAGACATTTTAACTACCCAATGAGCCCATTTGATACTGGAGGCAGCCAGAGGATTGTATTGTGCCAGCACGACCAGGTCACACGCAGGTTCTGGGAAGGGTATACTCCCACAGAGCAGGTTTGGGTGGCCATTAGAGGGAAGAGTCACAGTGCTTCCAGTGACACCCCGTGGAATCTCCTTGTCCAACTGCCAGTCAAAAACCTGCTGGAGTCTGAACCTCCTTAAACTGGTTAATATGTGAATAGATTGTTCTAATATGCTAGGGGGGTAGTGGTGGGGATGGGGTTGCGAGGGATGAGAAGCCTGTCAATGCTTTTGCTCAAGGTCAAGTCGTAGTTGATGTCACAGCAGAACATATACAGTCAGTTGTCATCTGGGAACAGTATAACCATATTTTTTGAAGCAAAATATGAGAGAAGAAATATGACATGTCTGAGTGCAGATGTGGTGATAAATGGGAC